TCAAAGTCCGCAGAGCAGGGCGCGGCGGATGCTCCCACTGAGCAGCCCCGAACGCGCAGCCCCCGCGCCTGCACCCCGGGTGGGCACCCCCGGATACCTTGCGGCTGCTGGTAGGCTCCGTCATCTCCGTGCTTCCCGACCCGAGAGAGACTAGAAAGTATGTAGGAGAAAAGTTTCCCCTCCCACATGGGGGGGGAGGATGTCGGGGGAGAGAGGGCGGAAGATGGAGAGCAGCGCTGGGAAGATGTTTCTGGCCCGTGGTGCGCGCACCATCCGAGTCCCGGCGGTACTGGTTAAAAATAAACTCGGCGACGCGGGTCGGGCCGGATTCCTGCGCTCGGACGGCTAATATGGATGCGCATCAGGTCCTGCTGGCGGGGCGCTGCGGCGGCTCGCGCAGGGAGCTGGTTGGCAGAGCCGGCAGCTCGGGAAGGGGAAAGAAGCGGAGGAAGGGGAGGAGGAGGAGGAGGAGCGGCCGGGCGCGCAGCCCGAGGGGAGAGGGCTGCCCAGCTCATCCCAGCCGCCCTTACCCCGCACCCCCAACCGAGCGCATGCTGCGCGGCGTGGGGCGCACGGGTCCTTTCTGCCAAACGCTGAGTTTCAGAAGTACACCGCGCTCTGCACACTTCGCCCTCCCCATCCCCAAAAAGTTCTTTAAAAGGTCGCTCCGGCAGTGCCCCGGACATCTCGCAGCCACCCGAGTGCCGCAAGCGGGGACTCGGGATGTGTACTTACGGCCCGGCAGGGTGCTGGGCTCCCAGGCATGATGCGGTAGGGACCGGTGGGCTTCAGGGAGAGAACGAGGAGAGATGCAAACTTGTTCCGGAAAAGGAATCAAAATGGCGTTTCTGGATGTGCAAAGTTCATCAACTCCGCAGTCACTTCCCCTCCTCCTCTTCTCCCATAGGGAGGGAGGTGGGCGAGGAGCTGGCGACCCCGTTGCCCCAGCCGTCTTCTCGGCCCCCGCCTCGGCCCCCCGCCCTGCTTCCTCGCCCGCACGCACGGAGACTCGCTCTCCCCCTCTCACCCTGATAAGTAGACACATCACGTGTTGCTCCTGCGAGTCTCCTGGGGACGTGTTACAGAGCTGCCGCAGCGGCCGCGGTGGCTTGAGCTGGGGGAGTCGGTAGGACCGCGGTACCCGGCTGTCCCAGTCGTCACCCCCGCCCCAATTTAAGGTAGGCAACCGCAGTTGCCACTATCTCAGGATGGATGGAGGTGGAGTCCCCACCAGACCCCACCAGCAGATCCAAATTTGCCCCCACGCCCTCCTAGGCGCCCGGGGCCAGGGGCGGGCCCGGCCGCCCGAGGGGAAGGGTCTCAGCGGCTGCAGCTGAGCGCAATTCCGATCCACCCAGCCCTCACTGGTGGACACTATCTCCGGCCACCGCGCCCCCTCCTCTCCAACCCCTCACAGCCAGTGGCTCTCAGCCCGCGGCTTTCCATCACTCTACAACACGGTTTGTTTCACTATTTTAACGGAGTCAGGGGAGAGGCAGAGATACGGAGAGAAGCTTGGGGGGACGCCCGGGAGGCCCGAGAGAGGGTACTGTGATGACGGTGGGCCCCCAGATCCGTCTCCGCTCCCCTGAATCTGAAAGCGGGGCCCCAACCTGCACAGTTCCTTCTGAAGTACGCGGTCCTCGCCCTGCATCCAGGTGGGGCGAGTAGAGGATGGGGCCGGAGATTAAAGAGCAGGCGCTTCACCCCGCCCCCAACCTCTTACAGTTTCTCTTCCAAGTTGGTCCTTCCCACCAGCGGAGCGACTGGAACTTGCTTCTCTTCTAACAAACGCAGGGTCCTAAACTTTTGTCACTTTGCCTTCTCACTTCCTACAAAAGATGCTTCGGCGGAGGCTGACAGCCCGAGAGGGGCCTAAGGATGGCGTCTACCTCCACCTTGTCCCCACCCCGAGAGGAATGGCTGTTGCTGTGTCATCCACGGCTCCCTTCAAGGCGTCAGGGAAGCCACATAAACTATCTCTTTCTCTCAGAGGGCTCCTGTTTCAACTCTGAAAAGCACAGGTCCTCCTGCGAGCCTCTCTCCATCCCTGGGGCTCCTGAAGCCACCACACTGCCTTGGCCCGAGTTATCACAGAACCCAGAGAAGCCAGGCCTCAGCTGTGCTTCCTCCATAAAGCAGCTGACATGTTTCCAACTAGTAAGCCAGTTTCTACTTAGGTTCCAAAGGGGGCTTGATCTCGGCCTTTGGATACATCTTCAGAAAGATAAGAATGATAGTTACCTTTCCACACACACACCCCAAAATTCTGAAGACAAAAAGCACAGAAAACAGGACTATAGAGTTATGCATTTGGGACCATTTAGTTGATGTTATACATGCAGAAAGCTGGCTACATGCTATTTAGTATGACCTTTGCCCTGACTCCACCCCATGGGCTCCTCTTGGATTGCTCGAGCACCCAAAAGTTGTAAAGCCCATTATAGACTTTAATTTGAAGTCTTCCTTCCAACGTTCTCTAGTTTGGAGGACTACAGACAGAAGTGTCCGTCTGGGGATAGAATGAACAAAATCAAGCCTGGCCAAGATAGAATTCTCTAGAACCGAAGAAAAACAGTTGGACCATTACCCCTAACTTGAGATAAGTAGGCTAAAGAACAGACAGGGAGGGAACTGATTCAGCTGGCTGTTTCTTTGACTTCCAGTCATTAAAAGTAAGTTTTCAGAACCTGTTGTATTTCCCAGAGTCTACTGTTTACTGAGCAAAACTCTATCTGGTGAAATTGTAGCAGTAGCATATTTTTCCTTTTTTTTTTTTTTCCTGACAAGGTCTTCAGGCCAGCATTGAACTTGCTACCTGAGGATAATCTTGAACTTGTGATTCCTGGTGCCACCATACCCTATTTATGAAGTGCTAGCATGGTCTCATGCCAGGCAAGTGCTCTGCCAGCCTTAGCAATTCCAATTTTGTTTTGCTTTGTTTTTGGAGACAGTCTCATTATATAGCTCTGGCTGTTCTGGAATTCACTTTGTAGACCAGGTTGGCCTCAAACTCACAGATACACTTACCTCTGCCTTCCAAGTGCTGGGATTAAAAGCATGCGCCATTACACCCACCTGGTTCCACTCTCCTAAGCCTCTCGAGACAGGGTTTCTCTGTGTTGCTTTGGAGCCAGTCCTGGAACTAGCTCTCATAGATCAGGCTGGCCTTGAACTCACAGAGATCTACCTGCCTCTGCCTCCTGAGTGCTGGGATTAAAGGCAGGCGTGTGCCACCACCGCCCGGCAGGAGTGTTATTTTCAAAAGTTGTTTTGGGGACTGGTCTGCAGAGGAGGCTGGCTTTTAAATAAACAGAATAGTTCATATGGTCACCATAGAAATTAGTGTTGTGGTTCCAATTTACAACCTGTTCAAACAAAGGAGATCAAGGATGGGCACTCTGATAATGTTACCTTACTTCTTGTCTCTTGGGCGACACAGGGGCTTTGTCGTTTGTCTTGATGTATTTTGTTTGACCCTGGCTCTTTCCTTGTAGACCAGCCTCAAACTCACCCTCCTTCTGCCTTCACTTCCCACTTGCTGTTGTGCTAGGTCACAAACAGAAGCGATATCAGAATTGGAGTTTTACTTGCAGTTAGTTTATTCTATAAAATACTTTCAAATGTCCAAAGTTCTATGGATTCTCATGACAAATCACCATTTTTATACCACATGGATAATTCTTGTAACAAAAAAGTCACTTTGAATTTTTTTTTATTCTAATGAGGCATGGTGGCTCAATCCCAACACTGCAGAGGATTGCCATGAGTTCCAGGTCAGCCTTGACTATAATTATAGCATAAAACCCTATCTCTGGGCCCAGCAGTGGTGGTGCACGCCTTTAATCCCAGCATTTGGGAGGCAGAGGAAGGTGGATCTCTGTGAGTTTAAGGCCAGCCTGGTCTACAAGAGCTAATTCCAGGACAAGCACAAAGCTACACAGAGAAACCCTGTCTCGAAAAACCAAAAATAAATAAATAAATAAATAATAAACAAACAAAAAATCCATCTCACGCCAAAATAAAACACAATAGAGTACTAAAAAGAATTGAATTCTAGCCAGGCATGGGGGCACACATCTTTAATCCCAACACTCAGAAGGCAGAGGCAGGCAGATATCTTTGAGTTCAATCAAGGCCAGCCTGGTCTATAGGGAGAGTTCCAGGATTGCCAGGGCTGTTACACAGAAAAACAAAACAAAAAGAATTAGACTCTAATAGCCCTATACCACCCTCATTAATAAACTTGAAAGTCAACGTCCCTGTTTAAAGATTTGTTCAAATGTTGATATCGTTTCTACAATAAATATTTACCAAACACCCAATAAGTAAAGAAGAATCATGTTATCAAACCACGATGAGATGCTGCTTTACAGCCACTAAAATGGCACTCACCGAAAGGCCATAAGTAAATGCTGGCAAGGATGTTGGAGGGATGGGAAATGGTGCAGCCATTTTGAAATATAACTTGGCAGTCCTTTAAAACACACATAGTGGCCGGGTGGTGGTGGTGCACGCCTTTAATCCCAGCACTTGAGAGGCAGAGGCAGGCAGATCTCTGTGAGTTCAAGACCTACCTGGTCCACAAGAGCTAGTTTCAGGACAGATTCCAAAGCTACAGAGAGAAACCCTGTCTTGAGAAACATAAAAAAAAAAAAAAACCTAGTGACCATGTGAGCCAGTAATTCTACTCCTAAGTGTTAGACTAGAAATGACATATGCATTCAGTCACAGATGTTCACTGCATCATCAGTCATAAGAGCTTAAAAAATATATAGAGGGGGCTGGTGAGATGACTCGGTGGTTCAATTCCCAGCATCCACATGGAAGCTCACAACTGTCTGTAACTCCAGTTTCAGGGGATCCGACACCTTCACACCAATGCACATAAAATAAAGTTAATTTTAAAAAAAAAAAAAAGTAAATAGAATTTGAAGGTTGTTGAGATGGATCAGCAGGTAAAGTCATTTGCTGGCCAGCCTGGTGACCTAAATTCAATCTGTCAAATTCCCACAGTGGAAGGAGAGAACCCACACCAAAATATTATCCTCTGGCTTCCACTTGTGTACCCAAGTACATGCACCCATGCCTGCACATATGTAAACACACACACACACACACACACACAAAATGGAAGTTAGCTACAGAGAATCACCAGCCAGTTAAGAGATAAAAATTGGGAATAAAACTGATAAATTAGGCCAATCATGGTGGTGTACATTGTTAATCCCATTACTGGAAAGACAGAGTGAGGAGTATTACTACAATTTCCAAGCTAGCCAGGGCTATCTATATAGACCCTATCTTAGAACAACAAAAATGTGAGGATTGAGACATGGCCTAGGGTTTAAGAGCACTTGCTGCTCTTCCAGAGGACCAGATTTCAGTTCCCAATGCCTACATCAGGTAGCTCATAACTGTTGATAAATCTAGCTCCAGAGATCTGATACCCTCTTCTGGTTTCTGAGGGTACCAGCCATGCCCAGAACACACACACACAAACACAAAG